CTAGCAAATCTGCCCTACAAGACATAGTAAAAGGAGTCCTTCAGGCTGAAATGAAAAGACACTAGACATTAATGCAAATCCACACAAAGGGAAAGAGCACTGATAAAGATAACTACAGAGTAAATGTAAGGCAGTATAAGTGTATTTTGCTTATATCTTAAATTGTTAAGATGGTAATACTCCCCAGGTTGATCTACTAATTCATCATAATCCCTATCAAAATCCCTGGTGTCTTTTTGCGAGAAATTGACAAACTGATCCTAAAATTCATATGGAAATATAAAGCACCCCCAATAGCCAAAACAATTGTTGAAAAGTACGAAATTGGAGAATTCACAGTCCTCAATTTCAAAACTTACTATTTAGCTACAATAATCAAAACAGTATAATACTGGCATAAACATGGGCATACGTAAATGGAATAGAGTTGAGAGCATAGAAATAAAACCCTTATATTTATGGTATGTTGATTTTCAACAAGGGTGCCAAAACCATTCAATGTGGAAAGAATAGCCTTTTCTACAGTTAGCACTGAGAAAACTGGATATCCAAATGCAAAAGAAAGAAGTTGAACAACTTCCTCAAACTATATACAAAAATTAACTCAAAATGGACCATAGACTTAAATGCAAAAGCTAAAACTATAACACTCTTAAAAGCAAACGTAAGAGTAAATCTTTGTGACCTTGGATTAAGCACTGGCTTCTTAGATATGACACCAACAGCACAAGCAACAAAAGAAAAAAATAAGTAAATGGGATTTCACCAAAATTAAAACTTTTAAGCGTCAAAGGATACCATTAAGAAAGTTAAAAGATGATGCAGAGGATGGGCGAATTTTTTTCAAAACATATCTCTAAAAAGGACCTTGTACCCTGAAGAATTCTTACAGCTCAACAATAAAACAACAAATAACCCAATGTTAAAAATGGGCAAGAGATTTGAGTACACACTTCTCCATAGAAACTATACAAATGTAGACATGCACATGAAAAGATGCTCAACATCATTAGTCATTTGCAAATGGGAAAATTCAAATAAAAATCATAATGAGATACCACTTCACACACACTAGGAATGCTAAAATTAAAAGATAGCCAGTAATAAGCGTTGACAATGTTGTGGAGAAATTGGTACCTTCATACAATGCTGAGGGAAATGTAAAATGGTGTAACCATTTCAAAAGCAGTTTGGCAGTTTCTCTAGATGTTAAACACAGCCGTTTTACTCAAGACCCAAGAGAAATGAAAAGATGTCCTCACAAAAATTTATACTTGAGTGTTCATAGCAGCATTTTTCATAATATCCAAGAAATGGATACAAGCTAAATGTCTATCAACTGATGAGTGGATAAACAAAATGTGTTATATCCATACAACAGAATACTATCGGCAATAAAAAGGAACAAAGTACTGATACATGCTATAGCAGGAATGAACCTGGAAAACACTGTGCCAACTGAAAGAAGCCAGTCACAAAAGACCACATACTGTATCACTCCATTTATATACCATCCAGAAAAGGCAAGTCCACAGAGACAGAAGTAGATTAGTAGTTTGCCAGGGGCGATAGGGCAGGGAGTATTGGGAGAACTGCTACTGGGCACAAGTTTCTCTTTCTTTGGGTGACAAAGATGTTCTAAAAGTAGATGGTGATGGTTGTAAATCTTTGTGAATATATTAAAAACCACTGAATTATACACTTTTAAAGGGTGAATTTCTTTTTTTTTTTTTTTTTTTTTTTGAGGGAGATTAGCCCTGAGCTAATATCTGCTGCCAATCCTCCTCTTTTCGCTGAGGAAGACTGGCCCTGAGCTAACATCTATGCCCATCTTCCTCTACTTTATGTGGGACGCCTACTACAGCATGGCTTCCCAAGTGGTGCCATGTCCACACCCAGGATCTGAACCAGCGAACCCCGGGCTGCCAAAGTGGAACGTGCACACTTATCCACTGCACCACCGGGCCAGCCCCTTTTTTTTTCCCTTCGAGGAAGATTAGCCCTGAGCTAACTTCTGCCAATCCTCCTCTTTTTTCTGAGGAAGACTGGCCCTTAGCTAACATCCATGCCCATCTTCCTCTACTTTATGTGGGATGCCTACCACAGCATGGCTTGCCAAGTGGTGCCATGTCCACACCTCGGATCCGAACTGGCCAACCCCAGGCCGCCGAAGCGGAACATGCGCACTTAACCACTGCGCCTCCGGGCCAGCCCCTAAAAGGTGAATTTTATGGTATATGAACTGTATCCTCATAAAGCTGTTATTTTTTTTATAAAGGCAGTTTTCACATCTAACCAGTTGACAGTGAAAATGCATTTACATAGTAGTGGTGTAATTTTAAAAAGGGAAAATAAATTAATAGGTGGTTCCTGAGGTCTTTTTCAGCTCCAGCATTCTAGGACCATGTACCTGAGATCATTGCCATGAAAAAGTTGCCCAGGGAAGTTAAGCCCTGGAGGAGGGTGGGAGACAGATGGAGGTAGAGAAAAGAAGGTAGGAAGGTCCAGGTGGAACTGTGATGGTCAAGACCAGATGTTTCTAGGTCTTGGGACCTGTTCTTCCCTCTCCTTTCCCAGCCTCAGAGGCACCTCTACTGCCTTCAAGGCTCAGCTCCAGTATCATCCATTGCAGGTTGGATTCTCCAGCAAGCAGACCCTGAGCTGGAGTTGGAAGTACAAAAGGTTTATTGGGGAATAACATCTGTGAAAGGAAAAGAGGCAGAAGCAGGACTTGGGAGGGGAGAATGTTGTCAGACCATTATGCAGACCTCTCAGAGGTCTCTGCATGCTCCCCAGGAAACTGCAGCCAGAATTTCCTATTAGAGCAGCCCCGTGATGAGGGGAAATGGGTAGGCCCTTTGCTACAGTCACAGGTGGGAGTTAAATGTGAAGCTAACTTTATAAAAAGAATCACTTTATTGAGATCTAATTCATATACTATAAAACTCACCTTTTTAATGTATGTAATTCAGTGGGTTTCACTGTATTCACAGAGATGCACAACTATCACCACTGTCTTATTTTGGAATGTTTGGAGTTAAACCTGACTCCTCTCTTTCTCTCATACCCCTATTGGATTCTTCAGTAAACCTAGCCTTTTTTGTCCAGAATCTGAGCACTTCTCGCCACCGAGCTATGATCATTCTGCTTGCTTGGAGCTTTGGAGTGGGAAAAAGTGATTTCCCTGCTTTTGTTTTTGCCCTGTCTCACCCCTAATTCTATTCTCAAAACAGCAACCAGGGTGATCCTTTTAAAATCAAGTCTAATCATGTCATTCCTCTGCTCAAATCCTCTAGTGGCTTCCAGTGGCTTCCCTTCTCAGAGTAAAAGTAATCAAAATTGTCCGGAAAGCCCTGCCTCCCTGCCTGCTCTCACACCTCCTCTCCTACCCCTCCCCTCATTCTTAGCTGTAGCCACACTGGCCACCTTGGTGTTCCTCAGACAAACAAGTTCCTGCTTTGGGGCCTTTGCACTGCTGTTTCTTCATATTATCTGCAAAGCTGGTATGTCATCTTCTTCAGGTTTTTGCTCAAATGTCAGTACACCTCAATTCTTAGTGACACCTTCCCCGACCATCCTATTTAAAATTCGACTGAGACTCGCATCCCCCTTTACTGCTTGATTTTTCTCCATGGCACTTGCTACCATCTAAAATCATATATATTTTACTAGTATATTTATCTGTCTTCCTTCACTAGAAAGTAAACTCCTCAAAGGATGGGATTTTTGATGGTTTTAGTTTCCACTGTCTCCCTGCACCCATAAGTGTCTGGCGCTTACTAATGGTTGAATGAATGCATACACACACAAGGTATTTTGCTAGGTCCTTAAATGCCCATAACAATCTCATGGGAGTATCCCCATTGTGTAAGTGAGACCTGCATGGGTCTGGCTGCAGCCAGTTCTCTATACCCGCCTTCTACACCACACCACCCTCTCCACAGGCCTCACTAGAGCCCTTGCTTCTGTCGGAGGGAGCTTTGTGGCTCCAGACCTCTCAGGGAAAAAGGCACTGCTGGGGAATCACAGATGAAATCTCCTCCTCTAATGTGGGGACAGGTCTAGAAAGAGGCCCGTGACCCAGTTGTCTTAGTGCCATCAAGTTAATTCCGACTCCTAGCCACCCTGTGTATAGCAGAGTGGAACCCTGCCCAGTCTTTTTTGCACCATCCTCACAACTGGCGCTTTATCCACTGCGATTTGCAGGGTTTTCGTGGCCAATTTTTTTGGAAGTGGATGGCTAGGTCCTTCTTCCTAGTCTGTCTTAGTCTGGAAGCTCTGCTGAAACTTTTCCACCATAGGTGACCCCACTGGCATTTGAAATCCCAATGGCATAGCTTTCTACATCACAGCAACATGCAGCCACCACAGTTTGACAAGTGACAGATGGGTGGTGTGGTTCCTTGACTAGGAAAGAAACCTGGGCTACAGTGATGAGAGCACTGAATCTTAACCACTAGACCTTCAGGGCTGGCTCTGTGAACTTGTGCCTTGTCCCTTTTCTGGATGCTTCTACCATAGGCCAAGGGTAGTCTTATGTCTGTTCTGCAATTAATGAGAAGGAAAGAGACTCTTTTGAAACATTAGTGAAGGATTTAGATTTTTTTTTTTTTTTTTTTGATATTAACAATATAATATGCACTATAATAGTTTCTGGTTTCTATTATTAAGGACGATTCCATTAGTTAAGATAAGGGAAAATCCAGTCATTTAACCTATGATTTCTAAAAATTGGATTTTTTTAGTTTTTTTATATGTATGCAACACTTGGTATAGTGTAGTATAAGTTACATGTAGAAAACTAGAGCAGCACTTCGTCGTTTTAAAAAATTGGCAGCTATTCTGATACATAAAAATGCATGCATTTTAATATTCCATTGTGTCATTATGATGACAGTGTGAACAAAGTATCATAATTGATCATTTATCAAAAGCGGTAAATTCAGTAGCTTAGTGAAAGAGTCCGGTGTTTTGTTATTGATACTTAATTTTCCTTACAGGACAAAGTTCTAAAAACATCAGTTCATCTCCAAGCATTGAGAGTTTGCCTGGAGGAAGAGAATTCACTGGCTCCCCACCTTCATCTGCTACTAAAAAGGATTCCTTTTTTAGCAACATCTCCCGTTCCCGCTCACACAGCAAAACTATGGGCAAAAAAGAATCTGTAAGTATTTGAGGACGGTTTTCTTTTTATCCTTCATTTTCCTCTAGAGCACTGCATTTGTTAAAGCTTCTTTAGTGCCTAGTTTTATAAAGCTCTTAAAATTTTTATGGACTAAAATGAATTCTTTCATCAAAAATATTTTAATTTTGTTATAATTTAGTAATATTTTAAAGCCTTGGGCTGTATTACACAGGGGGAAAAGGTAGCATCAATTTAAAATAAGTTGAACCCCAAATCTCAATCCTTTTTTCCTCTACAAATGCCTTTCTGTCAAAACCAGTTTTTTCCTAAAATTTAACATACAACATTTTACTAAATAATAGAGTAAGATTCTTAAAGCAAACCACGCTGTTTTTTTCAATTTTAAGTATTTCTTGAAACTTAAAAATAATTATTCTACCACTTGTTTTAAAAAGATATACAAATTACATTTAAATTATGGCATATTACTCTCTAAGATCCTTTGTATACGTTGCTCAAAAGGACACATCAAAAGCATATCAACTACTTTATAAATCTAGTCATATCTGAAATTTTTTAAGCCAACTTCACAAGAAATAGAACATTTAGCCACATTTGATAACTAGTTCAACACGTAATATTCTAATATGAGGAATTCATCTGCCCACTGGAAGAGGATGCAAATGTAAGATATTACAGAAAAGGATCTAGCTGTTGCTGAAATAATCCTAAATTAGGGGAAAAAATGCCTGTAAAACCTTTGAGGGATAATTATTTCTGGTACATAGACTAGAGACCAGCATGATGTCTATCTGTATGACCTTGGGCAAGACACTCTGCTTCCTGGTGCTTCCACCACGTCATCTGCAAATTAAACAACACACTTTGCTCCCTGAAGGGAAGAGTTCACTACATAATCTCTTGGGGTCCCTTTCAATGTGAAGGAACTGTGATTCTCTAATTTGTAGAAAAGCAGAATGGAACTTTCGTATAAAGATGACAGCTTTAATGTAAGCAGTTAGCTCTGCTCCCTCCTAAACTCCACTCCAAGGACAGTTAGGGTGATTAAGGATAAACCCTCAAGGAATAAGAAAACGGGATAGAAAACAATAGCAACAAAATTTTGTTACTTGGAAAGCAGATGTTAAGTGGTAACTTAGCAGTTTAAGAAAACTGAATGCTAAGTCAGCAGTAGGTAAAAACCAAGAAGCAACTTGATTTAAATTATAAAATCCTCTGGAAGCTCGAAAACTGGAAATGAGGTTAAGGTAGAACTGAAGACATGAGGATTGGTCAGGAGTCTCTTCAAGAAGCAGTTAGATTCCCTTCCCCACTCTGGCAGAAGACTGGAGGTTTAATTCTCTGGAAAGTGTAAAACGGAATGTCTCTGGACTGAGAGAGAACAGGTGCATTGAAGTATGGGACTACCCTACTGGAAAAGGGAGATGAATATATTTAAATACTGAATTTGAGATCCCCAGGCCTCACCCAACTTGCTTCCCCGAAGACCCATATGTATATCCCTAGAGTTTCCTCTAGGCACAAATTAGAAAAAAGAACATAGTGACCTTAGGCGTTCTCCAGGGAAACGGCTAGCTCACTTTACAGTGAACCCAGCCATCACAGCCCCATCCAAGCACAGAACTTTTCTTAGCTTTTAGTTCACACTATTTTATATGAGCAAGACAGCCAAGGATCATCAGATGCTTGAGGAAAGCATCTGATAGTGAAAGACAGAAAAAACAAACAGAAAAAAGCAACTGAGAGGAAACAAGTCTACACAGGAGAAAAACCCTTCAGAAAAAATGTCCATTCAGAGAATAAAAAAAGCTATTAGAAATTAAAATATGGCATCTGAAATGCAAAACTCGGGGAAAGAGCTGGAAGATAAAGTTGAGAAAATCTGCCCAGAAAGGAGAATACAAGACAGAAATGGGAGATAAGAGAGAAAAATAGAAAAAATTAGAGAAACAACCCAGGAGGTTCAAAATCTAAAAAATAGGAGCTCCAGGAAGATAGACAGAAAATGAAAGGAAAGAAATAAGCAAAAATACAATTCAGTAAATTTTTCCACTAAGGAAAGACCTGAGTTTTCAGATTTAAAGTCCATAGAAAATCCCACACAGGTGAAAACAAACCCATACTGAGACACATTACTGAAAAAGTTCAGAACTCTGGGAACAAAGAGATTTCCTACAAACTTGTAGAGTTGGGGGAAAGGAAGATTTCCAACAAGGGGCTAGGAATTAAAATAGCTGTAAATTTTGCATAGCAAGACTAGAAGCAAGACAATGGAGGAATACCTTCAAAGTTCTGGGAGAAAATTTCTTCTAAACTAGATTCAACACCTAGTCAAACTAATTAAGTGTGAGGGTAGAGTAAAAGTACTTTCAGACAGTCAAGATTCAAAAAATTTATTCCCATGCACCCATTCTCAGAATCCACTGGAGGGTGTGCTCTAAGAAATGAGAATGAGAAATACATGAGAACAAGGAAGTTGAGTACCAGAGCAAGACAAAAAGAGTCCTCAGAATAATAATATAGGGAGATCCCAAGACTATATATAGCACAGCTATTTAGCAGGTCCAGAGAGCAACAGCCAACCCAGATTGGAGCAAGTCAGAAGCTTCCAGAAAGTGTTCTCCAAAAAGATGAAATTGGAAGAATGACTAATATATTTGAACAAGTTGAAAGATTTATACAACTAGGGGTACATTTGGGTTTGAATTAGTGATAACTTTATAAAAACTAAGCCATTAAAACACAGGACAAGTGGTAATCCAAAGAAAAACAGAGTGTACAAGAAAAGAAAGAAAGTATATAATAAACTTTGTAACTGAGCGATGACTAGAATTTACAGACATTACAGTGTAAGCCTATTGACTATTAATCTAATCAAATCATGATAAAATTCTGTTGAGCAGATGGGGTGTGGGAGCTGTGTTTTTGCATGGGGAAGAGGAGGGAGCAGGTGATGGTAGTCAGTAGAGCTAAATCTTCATCTTCCATAGTGGAAAATCAGTGTATACTACTCTAGAAAAATCAAGAAGTAGCAATATAAGCTAGAGATATAGAGATGAAAAAATAGGAGTAAAAGAATTGAAAGTGGTTGCTTCTGGAGAGCAGGAAGTGGAGCATGGGGCTGTGTGCACTGTTTTTCATAACATGCCTTGTAGCACCATTTGACTCTTCAAAGTGTTACATATAAAACTTAGATTAAAAATAACTAAAAATTACAACAAAAATAGAATGTATTGGCATAATAAATTAGGAGATGTCTGCCTGTACCAAGAACATGTCTATGAAGAACGAGAATAAGGAATAACAAATGAGAAAGGCATATGGAGACATGTTTCATTTGCATTTCATCATATTTTGGTGGCATATGGATTAGTCTACAACACCAATTAATTACTCTTCTTTATGGTGATACTGTAACTTAAAACTGAGAAGTTGAGCAAAAATAGAAATAGAGTCTAAGTCTAACTCCCTCTGGATAGACCTGCTGTGAACCAAGAAACAGACTGCCAAATTATTATCCAAAATGTAATATATTTCCTAACTTGTGAGAAGTAAGTAGGCAGAAATTTTCAAGAGAAAGCCCATGGTTTTCCAAGTAATAGGTTATCTTATTATTTTATGAAATAAGATATTGTAGTCACTGCTCTTTGCCAAACAATTACAGTTCTCCCTCATTCTAGGCAGTTGATAGGATTGCAGCTCCTTGTCCCCCGTGATCTGTGACTAGTTCTGTCCAGTGAGTTGTGAGTGGAAGTGATAGGAATGCATTTCCAGTGCAAGACTTTCCACAGCCCTCTCTTTCCCTCTGGCACAGTGAGCAGAGCCCACCTGCCAACCCTTGATAGACATGAAATATGAGTGAGAAATAAACTTGTACTGATTTAAGCTGAGATTGTTGCTTATCATGGCCTAACAATGCACGGTTGGAAAATGTTCAGGCCCAAAGCTGGGAATCATTCTCCCGTGGGAGCCGCATACCACCACCAGAGTTGTCCCAGTGGCACCAGAGACTATGACAGGGCGCCTTCCCTGAGCCCATTTTGCTTTCATTTGCAGCCTAGTTTGGTGTGATATGGAGATATTCCATGTCCTCAAAAGAGTTCAAAATAGTTTTTCATTAACATCATCATCAATTTCTCACACAAGCAAGTAGCCAGAAATTGAAGCAAAGACATCTCTTGCTTTGGATCCCCAGTGCCTTAATCTATATGATACCTTTCAGATTTCAAGACTCAGTTGATCTTTAAAGTGGCTTAGGGTCAAGAAATTATTGATGTCAGTTAAAAAAAGGTTAAAATGGCAATTGAAAACAGACATTAAAACCAAGATAATCTGGTCATAGCTGTCAACCTAAGTGTGGTGAAATCTGTTTATAATGGTTCTAATCTAGTCATTGAGAAATGATTTCCAAAATCAATATATGTGTGACATATTTTATACAAGCATCATATATTAGGTCATAGAACTTATTTCCTCTCAGTGTGGCTTTTTTGTGTATCATATCAAGCCTTTCTGTAATCCACGGGCTGTCTTCTCTAGATGAAGATGTATCACATTTATTCCTGTTAATGCCTCTGCTGGCGGTATAATAAGAGTGCAAATCTCAGCTAAGTCTTTAAAGAGGTAACAAAGTAAGCTTTGTGCCTTATGTTTATAAAAGACAGCATTATACTTCTTTTCTGAAATGTGAGCAAACTAGTAGGAAGGTTTAAAAATTACCTTCCTTTATTATCAGTAGTGTTGTTTTGAGGATTGGTATTTATCCACGAAGACAATTTTCTCTCTGCTTTGTTTCCCAAAAGAGCTTTGAGGGCTCCCCTAATTCAAACCCAGGTTTTAATCAAGCTCTGATTTTTCAGTCTTGAAGAAAAAATTGAAAAGGTTGATACTTTTGATTTTTTATGCTTTATTTTGCATGATAATGTAAATGACATCCAATACTTATTTTTCTAGAAATCTATTTTAGTTGATCATTCATCTGACTGTTAAGTAATTTTTTACTTGTTTTAGCACTGTTA